CAATATTGCCCAAGACCGGGGGCCCGTTGTCTTAACATTAGTCGTAAATGTTATCTTAATATTAACATTAGCATTAACTTTACGATGTTTCTGACTGGTTTTCCACCGGAATTCCAGGTTAAAATTGATTTTCGAGGTTACCTTAATTGGTTTTCGATATTTATATTGACTTCACATTGATTATTTGCGTAGTAGCATATTATTATTTGTTTACCTGTCGGAATGCGGTAGGAATGTACCCGAAATATATAGAGGCCTATCCCATTGTGATATGCTGACATAGAAAGTTACCCGGCGATTTGACCAAATGGCTACAATGTGCGCTGCTAGATGTAGTGACTGTTGAACCAATTCCATTTTTAGAGGTTGTACAGGAATTTGCTCCTGGACTACTACACTCTAGTCTTATAATCATTTTCCTTCTTCTTATTTTGAAGAGGAATTAGATGTTAAAACACACAGTCTATGATTCGGGTAAATATAAACTGTGCGCTCAGCGGTACGTACGGTTGATTTAAGTAGGCAACCTGGATTCAGTGGGCAAGACTGATTTCAGAGGGGCAACATTGATTTCACAGGGTAACATTGATTTCAAAGGGTAACATTGATTTCAGTGGGCGCGCTTACATTTCATGGCACATGAGAAGACACCAAACTCAACACGTTTCTATCGCGCTGATAATATATATATATATATATATATATATATATATATATATATATATATAAGCAAACTCGCGTGAATCAAACGAAACCCTAGGGAATGCAATAAGGAAGCAAATCCGCGAGTAAATGGCTCGAAAATTGTCGCGAGAGTTGTGCGTAATAACGGAGGCGGTCGACTGGAGGCAAGAGACGTGGTGAGATCGAAGCCCGGAAAACGAATCGTTATGGGATTTCAGGCTAGAAGCAACTAGAAGCAACGAGGGAACTAGTTATAATAGAACTTCAAACGGGAAGCGTGCAGGGACATCGTTATCACGGGATTTCATATAAATCGCTCTCTATGCGTATATTTATTGTGTATTCTGGGTGTATCCGCGGGTGTGAATGCGGTTACACGTACTTACAGCTCTCCACCTGAATAGAACATCTCTGCGTGTCCATGGGAAAATCCTTAAGGACCATCATACACATAGCCGTGAGTGTTAGCCTGCAAGAATACCATCAATCGGACAATGTAATAAATAAATAAACAGAATAGACACACAACGAATAAAACTAAAGCGAATGAATAAAACCAAAATCGATAGAAAAAATACTCGAAGAAGTCGTTCTTGTGTCATTGCCGACGTTATACGTATTGTAGACGTAAACTTGGCATAGTATAGTATATATAGCAGTAGTATAGTATATACATAGCATAGTAGTTATAGAGCTTCCCTCAAATAGAGTGTTAAAATTGAGAGAACATACTCTCAAATGCATTTTCTGATTCTAAAAATACGGAACATTAAGAAATGAATTCATGCGAATGATCAAATCCACAACATAAATGACGGAGTAAATGTGGTGAAGTTTTATTTATTCCCATTCTTGTTTCATGGTCATCGTGGTTCATCGGCACCTACGCCGCCATCTTACGAGAAGTGAACATCTTTGCTTATACCACAGTGAGCTTGGGAGGATTTTACAATGCTAAGAAGCGTTTCTATATCGACTGAGATCATCTAGACAAACGAATTTAAGAAATTTACATTCAAAAGCCCAACGGAGTGTTGTGATATCAGCTCGAATACTTTCTTCGTCAATCAGGGGAGAAGAGAATCTTTCTTCACTTCCCCGCCCATCGTTTCATCCTCGGCAACGCATTCCCGTATTATTTTTTTATCGTGGTCCCGGACGAAACCCACCCGTGCACGATCCGCATGGGCATTTTTCTACTGGCGCCATCTAGCGGTGGAGATGAACACCGAAACACATGACTGCCGTTATATTTGCAGTGATGAGATAAAAAATTGGGAACTTCATTGTAATGCCGCCACGGCGTGCGTGCGTGAGTGTTCATGAGAGTAAATGCTTCCATGCGTGACTGCGACGCCCATGCGCCCGTTGAAAGTAATTCCCATGGCTTTTCATACATGACGTAATATTCTAATTTTCTCCCGTCGTTGCCTCCGCCTATTTTTGCGTTTTTGCGAAATCGAAGCGTAATTTGTGTCAATATCGCTATAATTTATGTGAAAATTACTGAGAATAGCTACATAATTTGTATGCCTGAGTGATGCTAGAGTCGATACACATGACTTTATGCGTAGGCTGTGATTTTACCAGCCGTTCCTCTGCGGCAGTAGAAGCACTCTGCCCGCTCTTAGCACTCGGCACGCGCCAGTGCGCTAGCGAAATTAACGCCTGGAACCAACATGTCATGGTTAACCCTGCAGCGGTCGTTATCGCATGCAGGCGTCAGCTGCGTTACCATATCTATCCTACTTTTCGCACGTAGATTCATTCCTCTTCTCCCGCTCTCTCTATCGCGCCTTCTCTCCTACTCTCCTTCTCTCAATCGCGCGCTATGTATATATATATATATATATATAAAGCGAGCGAGGTAGAGAGAGATAGCGACATACTAGGAGGAAGACAAAAATATATATATTCCATCGCTTTCTACTTTCCTCTCTGTCTCTCTCTCTCTCTTTTTCTGTCTCTTCTCTTTTCTTCTCTTCTCTTCTCTTCTCTCTCTCTCTCTCTCTCTCTCTTTCGCTCTCTCTCTCTCTCTCTCTTTCGCTCTCTCTCTCTCTCTCTCTCTCTCTCTCTCTCTCTCTCTGTAGCTGTCGCTCTATCGGTCGCTCATTCGCTCTTGCTCTCTCTTTCTCTCTCGCTCTCTCTCTCTTTCTCTCTCTCCCCGTCTTTCTCTTTTCCTCTCGCTATCCCGTCCCTCTCTATCAGCAAGCTACATCGTCGAAATTCGATTAGATTAGAATTCAAATTCTTGAACTCAAAGCATCCAGCAGCCGCGCCAGGAAGAGCCACAAGGACAAATGGCGGGCGCGCGTTGACCTGAAAGATATTGTAATCCGCCATTTGCCAATTGCTTTGAGTAATGGCGTGGTCTGTGTTCGTGCGAGCAATCGGAAACCTAAAGACGCCGCTGTTATCCCAAGCGGGACGACAATAATGCAAAGCCGCAATAGAAAGAAAGAGCGAGAGAGAGGAAGAGAGAGAGAGAGAGAGAGAGAGAGAGAAAGAGAGAGAGAGAGAGAGAGAGAGAGAGAGCGGCCTAATGATTCGGACCGATAGATACGCGATGTGTGTGCGTGTATGTCTCTCTCTTTCGCTTTCTCTCTCTCTCTCTCTCTCTCTCTCTCTCCCTCTCTCCCGAGCGCGCGCGTGTGTGTGTGTGTGTGTGCGTGAGCGCGCGTGCGCGCGTGTGTGACTAAGTGAATTCGACATCGGAGGATTGTTCAGCGAGAAATCGAACGATCGCATTATTGTCGGCGTGTTTGTGAGAACCCGACCGAGCTGCATCTGCGATCCGCAGACACCGCGTCTACACTCTCATCTCAATATTCAGCTCTATATTATTTTTCCACCCCTATTAAATTTTTTTTCACGTCATTCACTTTCCCCGGTCAATATTATATTTCTGGGCCTATTTGATTTTTAAGGTGGTCTACTTTATACTCGCCGCGCGGAAGCTTCCATCGCATGAATTGGTTGCTGCTGCTGCAGCTACTGCTCCCGCCGAGGCACTGCCGAGTTTTATCGTGATAAGTGATAAGTTCGGCTAAAGAGCTTTGAAGGAATTTTCGAGCAGGCCTTTCTTTCCGTAAATTCTGTTTCGGCTGCAACTCACCGGAAAACACAGATCTTCACACAAGTCGCGGCGCCCAATAACAGTCCTTCTAACAGTCCTTATAGTGCCCAATCTGCTTCAATTGAACACGTTCCAGCATGGGCGATGCTATCGCTGGCAAGGTTGGGAGAAGACAATTATAATGCTAAAGATTGATATATTTCTCTCTCTCTCTCTCTCTCTCTCTCTCTCTCTCTTGTCTCTTCGCTCTCTCTGCTTCTACCCTCCCTCTCTCTCTCTCTCTCTCTCTCTCTCTCTCCTCTCTCTCCTCTCTCTCTCTCTCTCTCTCTCTATGCTTCGTTTTTTCACTACCTGCCATTGTCAGTCCCAATCTCGGTGTCTTACTCTATATTTCTCACTATCTTCTTTCTCTCAATTTCTCTCTTTATCGCTCTTTCTCTCACTCCCCCCTCTTTTTCCTATTTTTCTATTTGTATCTATATATCTCTCTCTATCTGTATTTCTCAACAGTCTTTCTCTCATCCTCTCTGTCTTTCTCTCTATCATGCTATATGTTTCCCCCTCGGTGTCTTACTCTATATTTCTCACTATCTTCTTTTTCTGCCTTCTCTCTCTCCCTGCCTTTTTTCTCTATATCCCTCTCTCTCTCCATCTCTCTCTCCCTCTCTGTTTTTTTTCTCCACCTTTCTCTCTCTCCATCTCTCTCCCTCTCTGTTTCTCTCTCCTCCCCTCTCTCTCAGTCTCTCTCTCCCTCGCACACAGATTCGCTTACCGTATGCTGACGAACACTTGCCCGTTGGCGCTGATTCGCAGGAACGTGTTCTTTGTCGTCGCGTCGTGAAAGTAGGCGTGCTTCTCGTTCACGAAGAACGTGTCCGGCACCCACAGCTTCGACAGCATCTGCGCTCCGACGCTCAGGCTCGCGTTCGGCCCACAGTCGTCAAACGCCAGTCGCGGGTCGATCCACGACTGTCGGAAGTAGATGTCCACTGTGAAGTCCTGTGAATAGATGAGAGGAGGTATTCGTTTAGGTTTACCTGAGCGGGATAACTTCCGTGGGTAGTATGCGATTAATTTATGCTAGTTTATATCCGTTTCCGGGGTACGCGTGCCCCCCAAATTGCCGACTTTGCGATATTGTTTTTTTTCATGTTGTTGTAGGTGTTAGTGTTGTCGATGGCGTGCTTTTGATTTTGTTGTGGTTGTTGTTGTCGTCGTTGTTGTTGTTGTTGTTGTTGTTGTTGTTGTTGTTGTTGTTGTTGTTGCTGTGGTAGTCGGCATCCTTGCGGTTGTTGTGTCTTTGTTGCTGCTGTTTCCCACCGGCAGCGACAATGATGATAATTGGTCGAGTAGTTTAAGCTTAGTTCGATTAGTAGCGTGTGAGCTTTCTCGTGGGGAGCCTGCCCGTGTGTGTGTGTGTGTGTGTGTGTGTGTGTGTGTGTGT